CACACCTCTGTTGGTGAAGCGTAGCCTCTTTCCACCAAGAACCTTGGCGGTTGTACTGCATATTGAGACAAACCTTCTGGCCACTCAGCCAGAAGAAAGGCTGATGATATGTCACTGGATGCTCCTCTCCAGGGCCTTGCAGCCCCGTAGCAAAGAGCCGCTCTGAATGTCTCAATGGATGCTCCACCCGCGTACAACGAACCATATCCTTCTTCACGTACTGCATGGTTGCCGCAAAGAACTAAACGATAATGCCTTCGAAGCCGGTTTCCTGCAACGTCTGGAGGTTTCAAAGTATGCACCCCTTTGCTAGGCACAAGTCTCAATTTCCCTTGTCGTTGCAAGTCAGCCGCCTCTTGACTCGAGAGCCTTCGCGAAGTTCCGGATCCAAACAAACTGCCCAGCTTTTTTTTGATTGCAGCATCCCAGCGCTCAGCAACAGGACGCACTTGCTCTAGAGGTACTGTGTGAACCACTTGTAGATCTCCTTGTAGGTTGTCGATCACAGCCTCATAGTCGGGTTCCTGATGAACAGCCGCCGCCTTCAAACAAGCTTCCTTGCCCTTCTTCTCCAAGCCCTCCAACTCCTTGCCCATACCATGGATCATGTTGTGAATGGTCTCGGCAATCCTTTTGGCCTCGTCTAGCACATGATCACTTGCTTCTTGTAGATCATCAGCCAACGCCTGCTCCTCCTCAAGAAGCAACGTCAAAGCGGCTGCTCGTTCTTCCATGTCCTCAAGCAACTGTTGGTGAGCTTCATTCAAGCTAGTCAAGGAACTCTGCAACTTCTCCTCATCGTTCTCAGACTTGTGGCTGAGCAATGCACTCTCCTTCTTTTCCGCCACACCCGGCACCAACGGAAAACCCATCTCCCGCAGCTTGACTGCGTTGCCATAGAGGAGGTGGGTAGCTCTTGGGTGATATGTGACCCGAGGGAGTCCGATGCCATGAGCAATGCCATGGTCCTTCTTTTGGCTCGGGTTTTGGCTCTCTTCACCGCTGCCTCCGCCCTTCCATTGGTTTGCGGAACTTGACTTTCCCCGCAAGTTGGAAGAACATCTCGCGATATCAGCCAGGATCTCAACGCACTCCCACGCAGCTCTCTTGCCCTGTCACTTTGCACTCTTGTAACCGGAAGTCCTTCGGCTCGCAACTGCAGGTACAAAGACTTCACCGCCATATCCACTTCTGATGCCAACCTTGTCTTCAGCGGAATCGCGCAGTTAAGAACTTGGTACTCTGGTAGTTCCCCAACACCGCTAAGCAACTTGTTGCACTTTTCTTCCGACTCTCCTCCTCTTCCGGGGTGTACTCCGGGATTGGCTCGTCCTTGGCACCACTAAGCTTCGGCATCAGGTAAGCTCCGATCAAGGCGTACCGGCGAGCCTGCATACTCCCCTCGCACTCTGAATGGCCCACAAAGGTCCAGTGACAAAACATAGCATGACGGAGCCACTACGCGCCGATGGGCTCGTCCTGTGGCTCACGTTTCTATGCAAGTTCTGCACCGTTTCTCAAACGGCAGATGACCGTTTTTGATGTGCCTGATCCACTTTTTCTTTTCCGCCTCCTTCATCTCGCTCAGCGGGACATCATACTTCTTGAGCATCCAACTATGGAACGACCGCCTCCAATCTTGGATAGCTTGGATCACCCTCTAGCACACAGAATCAGGCCAAGCTTGACTGGACGACACCCCTTTCGACGTACCCCCGAGGTCATTCTCAAGGTTGAGGTTCGTCACCATCAAGTAGTTGTTGCCCGTTTCCTTTGCCACGGTACACACAATTGGAAGTTCATATTCATGTTGAATCCTCTTCCACTGCTCACTCTTGCAGAAGTGTTCCTTGAGTGCTCCGCCGTCATCCTCCGATGACCTTGGCCGAGAAGATTCCCACCCGATGCCCCAGAACCTCCCAAGTGCTGCTCTGTAGGCGGTCTCAACGTAGAGCTTTGTTCTTCACGTTTAGGTTGTTCCCGAAGTTCACTGCCTCGCGCTCCCAAACGTCCATCATGAAGACCGTGTTGCCCTGCTCCGCCTTCAGCACTCTTACGCTCCTCGATCAACTTCAAGGAACCTTGGAGAGCCGTTTGCAATTCACGATTCTGGGACCTCAACTCTCGTAGCTCTGCTTCTTTGTCTTTCATAGCTTCTTTCACTTGATTGCGAACTTCTTGCATAATCAGCTCCTGAGGTATCGAACTGGTATTGCTCGATTGATCCGGGGCCCTCATTGGTGGTGGAGCCGGTGGGTTAATCAAAGAAGTTCTTGCCGTCCACTCATACATAGCCCTTGCCATAGACGGATTGAAGACTCTGACTGATCCATGGGGTCCCCAGGTGTTCTTGTAGTAGGCGAGGTCTTTGGAGATTGCCCTGTCATTTTCCGTCTAATAGCCTGCCCGGCCCTTGCCAAACCTGACCACAACCCAGTTCGCTCTGCCTCTGTTCGTTCCTGTAAACCCGGTGGTAGAGGTGGAGGTGGGCCATAAGGCCTGAAGGGATTTGTTGACTCCTGAGGAATATCACCATAGAAGCCCTCACACAAGCTCTCTGTAGCTCTGTGAGGTAGTTCATGAAGTTCACTCGGTCCATGGTGCTGATCCGAACGTGCCATCGGGACTGCCGCTCTCGAGCCGCGGTGTATGCTGTGCCTCTGTTGGTGGTGCTGGTGGTGGTGGTGTGCCGATCACGAGGTCTGTGGTGTTTGCACATGCGCGATGCGCAACCTCAGAATTCGGACGCTAACTCCACTACCCTCTTGTCCCTGCACATTTCCTCTACCAGTAGGCATGGCATCACCTTGCACTCCCTTGGCCTTGCACGGGAGCAGGACGTTCTACTCCGTTTATCTGCTGTGCCTGAATTCGCTGTTGTTGACCATCACGGTTCTCAACAGCTTCCTCCGGCAGCTGGTAATCAGGACCTGCTGTTTCACCTTCAAGAACACGCAGCGTAGGTTGGGCATGCATAACCTGTTGTTGCTCATCTTCGGTTTGAGGACTTTGAGGTGAATGATATGCAGACATCCAGCTTTAAGGAAGGGGTCACAGCAAACGGACCATGCAAAGACGATCGGCCTAATGTTTTCACGCGAAGCCAGAAAGTAACATGTTTGATCTACGCAGAGCTTCTAAGTTGCGAAATGTCAAGCGACTTTACATGCTGGTATCCACAACACGCACTGCTGTCAGCCAAAGCTTTCATGCTCGAGCCACAAGGCCCTTGCTTTAACAGACCACATGACTGAACTGGCTTCAACAGGGTCCTATCCTGGGAGCGCCCCGGTGAGCTCTTTCCTTTCTCACCCTTGGACTATCCCTTTTCTTTATCAGATTTGGCTTTTTCCTTATGGTTTTTCCTTCCCTTTGCCCTCAGGCTCTCGAGAGACACGGGCACGGGCGTCTCGGAGATTGATATCGCCACTCTCCAACGCTGAATGGACCCAGTTGTTATCGATGGATCAACACGGTAGAATCCGCCCGCCACAGATTCGGAACCAACAGTCGATTCCATAGATGGTCCGTCAAAAAATCGACCCTTCCGATCCCGAGGCGATCGACATCGAGCGGCAGTAGCCGACATTGGCCCAGCCTCGCAAAGCTGTGTCTTCCAGTCAACCGTTTTCTGCGCCTTATCTGGCGGATGCGATGCTGCTCGCGGTTTGGTAAAAGGCTTGGTTCTGTCAACTTCTGTCGACTCAAACTTAGCTGTGGACGTAGCCGGCGACATCGCGCACTCTTGTGGAGGGGTTCGCCGCGTTGGTCGAACATCCGTCCGTCCGCGGTGAGCAACTGCTGTGCTCAGCAGGTTCATGCAATCCCTGCGAGGCGCATGTTCACCGAATTATCGGGATTCGCATTGAGGCTGATGAGGAATGCAGCGGTGTTCTTTTTCACAACCGGCAGCTGCGTCACCGAGTGATAGGATTGGTAGAACACCTTGATCGTGGTTTCATCGCCAATCGACTCATGATTCGCAACGTATCAGGGAGACCTGGCTCGCCAGCTTTCCTTGACCGACCATCACGGGACGCTCCCTCAAGAGCTTCTTCAGTAGTCTCATGGGAGACCAAGCGTCCCGTGACACTAGGAAGAAGCTGGGCCGCCGAAGGAACCAGGACAGCAGGAGTGGGCTCCGAGGGCGCCGGAGCTGTCGTGGGCTCCGGCCCGTCGGCGGTTCTGGTGGTCTCAGGCCTACGCTCCTCCTTTGCCCCGTGAAGCCTGCAGAGCCTCACTCCCCCTTTGGCGACGGAGCACGTCCTTGAGGGAGGCTTTGTAGACAGAGACGCATCTATCAACCTTGTCAGTCCCTCCTGGCAGCTAACAACTTCATCTGCCTTCAACAAAGGTTCAGGCTGATGCTTGGCCAAATCTCGCCAAGGCTCCACCGAAAGAGTCTTTGCTCCCACGCCTCCCAAGTCCATACCCACTAGGTCGGCTTGGCGGGGATTGCTTCCTTCAGCCTCTGACTCGGTCTCGAGTCGTCATGCCGTGGTCCTCCGGCGTCGGGCGCAAACTGCGCCTCGGTGCCCTGCGACAGCACGCTCGGCAAATTCCACCGCAGACAGCTCGCGATGCTCTGCGAACACCTTCGTTCCCATGAAGTCTCGAAAACGGACTTCCAGCCTTCCCAGCTCCTTTCAGCTCCGCGGAGTGCAGGTTCGGCCCAGGCCCGCACGAAGGGAATCCGGGACTGAGATCAGCCCTCGGACCCTCCAGAGGTCCCGTAGTTGTGGTGGTGGTGGTGGTGGTGGTGGTGGTGGTGGTGGTGGTGGTGGTGGTGGTGGTGGTGGTGGTGGTGGTGGTGGTGGTGGTGGCGGTGGTGGTGGTGGCCGCATTAAAAGATTCATCCCTGGTGCTGGCCAGAAAGCGCGCCCCGCCATGGGGCCCACACCATCTTACTTTGCGCAGCTCCTAGGCTACCTAAAAAACGAGCTACCTTGAGCCTAAGGCCGCTGTGAGACGGAGGTGACGCTACCCTGTACTGAACGACTTCAGTCTGTACATCGCAGGTACACACTCGAGCGTCCCCAAGTGCTTCCACTGATTTGCCATAGCTTGGTTGGACGGGTGCTGCTTTCGAAAATGTTGGTGAGATGTATTTCAGAAACCCTTAGCGAATGATCAGGGCTCTCTCTCTCACACACACACACACCCGCCCACCCACCCGCCCACCCACCCACCCACGTGCGCGCGCACGCACGGCAAGATGGAGAATGGTTTCTGGGGGCCTGATGCTCCTCTGTGATCGTCTGCTCCACTGTGTCGGCAGTGACAAAGCGCCTGGAAACCGGAATTTTGCGCCACGGTGAGACACACGGGGCCCGACGAAAGCAGGCTTGTGCCCCGGGCCAGACATGCACCGTGTCCCGCGGCTGCCCGTGGCGCCGGGCTCGGCCGATAGCCTGGCGGAGCAAAGTGACGGCCGATGCGCAAGGACCAGGTTCAACAGCTTCATCCCATCGGCACCTGCATCTCGTATCCAACAGCCTTCTCCGCCGTGGGCGCCAGCATCGGATGCAAGAAAATCACGTGGCTGGCTGCCGTCAAATTCGTACCTCGCGGAAGGGACATCTGGAACTTGAAGCGCATCATGGAGCAGCTGGCCTGAGGCACTCTGCGCCAAGGAGAGTAAAAGGACGAAAGTGCGCGACTGGGGATTGCTTTGCCAGTCGCGGATGATCCCGGCACGCCTCGCACGTTGTTTACGAGATCACCGAATTCACTAGATCAGCTGTGGTGACAGGCTCTCAGGGCCCAGCACACCCACACCTCCTTGCAGCATCGTGCAGGGAATGCCGAACTCTGTCAATGCCGAGCACACCTCATTGCAGTGGGAGCATGGCAGAAGGCAGGCGAACAGGGCTTTCAAGCCACAGCTGACCTTGCGCTTTAGGTCGTCGAATTGCACGAAAAGGATGACCTCGAATCGCTGTCCAGACCGACAGTCTCATATTCGCCACATCACCTGGCCTTGGCGCTGCAATCCTCCGCACGGAGCTCGGATAACTTCCGAGCCTCTCTTAGATCGCAACACATCGCGCAAAGCGTCAGCAGCACGTTTCAAAACCACGTCGTCACCGGCTGAGCTCGGTGCCAAGGATGCGAGCTTGGTGCCGTACTTGTCCAGTGGCACACCTGTGAAGGGATCCAGCCGCCAAAGCTGTCCTTACAATTGGTCAGGCGCACCTGGTGCCGCGGGAGGCATCGGCGTCGCAGCCGACTCATCACTAGCAGTTGGTGGAGCAGCAGCAGCCTCTATCTCTGCAACCAATGGCTGCACGTCCCGCAAAGACAGACTCCGTTGACCTGAAAGCAGCGAACGGCCTTCAACACCGACTCTGACATACTCTGGTGTATGGTCACTACAGCATGGGTGGGGGAAGCCGAGAATAGAAGGACATGAAAGAACGCGCTGCTTCGCTTTGTGCACCAAGCTGCACAAGCTGCACCTGCCAAACTTCTCCACTGCTTCGCGGAGGCAATTTATGCCTCGGTCAAGACATCAGGTGCTGAGCTGCCTCACTGGAATCTCACATGACTCTCCCAACTTGCTCTTGGGCTGCTCTTTTCCCATGTTGTGTCTGTCTCTGCTCGGGCCGGGCCCCCCTGCAGAAGGCGTGGGCGCAGGGGGTGATGGCCATCTTCTGGGCCTCGCCGCAAACCGCGAGAGCACTTAAGCTGGAGCCGAGCCTCTGCTCGAGGCTGTCGCCGGCAGATTCTCTTCCAGGCAGACGGAGCAGCTCCGATCCTAAGACGGCACTGCGCGACTGCGAGACTGCTGCCTGCAGCTCTCCCGCCTCCGGCTTGGTTCCTCCAAGGGCAGCAACAGTGCGACGGAAGAAGTCCATGGAGGTGGCCGCTTCATGAAGCTCACGGAGGTTCTGCGCCTTCAGACGCGCCCCCTCCCAGCCCCTTCTTCAGCACAGATGGAGCGCAGGTCGACCGTCCCACCAAGGGGCTCTTTCTCGCTCGCTTTCGGTGCCTGCTCGTTGGCTTGGGCCAAGAGCAGCCGCTCCAGGGCTTTGGCCTGCAGAGTCAGAAACTGCGCAGATTTGCATGAGAGGCGAGACTGGAGACTGGCACCTCGATTGGCGGCCCCTCTAGCATCCCCTTCCACTCTTCAAAGCAACCTCACATCTTTCGGGTCAGGCGCAGCCTCTCTGGTGCATGCTTCGGGCCTCGCTTCGGGCCCTCCGGGCCCAAGAACTGCAACAGCTCCTGCGGGAAGGGAACAAAAAAACAGATCGCTGCTCTCTCTTGCTGCTCGCGCTCGGCGCGTCCTCGCTGCCCGTGGGCTTGTAGCCATCGAGGTACCGGGGCCACTCTTGGCAGTCCTCGCGCTCTGCCGCCAGGAGCTCCCGGTCCAGCTCCTGCGCTCGAACGCTGCAGCACCCTGTGGCACCCTGCGGCGGCGGCCCCGCCCTCCGCATCCCTCCGCCCTCCGCCCTTCGCCTCGCAGAAAGGCTTCGCCGCCTCGCCGGCGCTGACCCGAAAGGACTCCTTGGGGCGCATGCCGCTTCCGCTGTCAGAGAAAGAGCCGCTCTTCGTGTGACCACACCGTCGCAGCGTGCCTTGGCCTTTTCCAGGAGGCTCTGCCATGCTTTGGCCTCTTTGGCCTTTGCGGACTTGGGCAGCAGATGCCTCGTCATCGAACTGAAACTACCTCGACTTCCCCTTGCCACTGCGTACTCAGAGTGGAGCTGCAGCAGAGCCAGGACGCGGCAGCAGCGCCTCATTTGGTTCCTGGATACAGGAAGCAATGCCACAGGCTTCGGATCTCATCCTCCCTTTTCAATGTTCAGCAACATACCTATCTGAAACAGAAGGCCAGTGTTGAGAAATGTCCAGCCGCGCGCCTGGCTCGCACCAGGCGCCGCTCCTTCTGATCGTATATCCGCTCGCACTCCTGGTGGGCGCCTCACGCAGCGTCCATGTCCCTCGCGCGGCGTAGAGACAAACGCGCATGATGCGGGCCGAAGGCTGTGAGAACAGTGGGGAGGCACCTGATAAGTACTGAAGTTGTGCAATGCAAAGCGTAGAAGGAAAATACCTATGATGGGAGAAATCGGCTGAACGAGTGTGGCCAAGATGAGGAGCTCAAGTGTCCAAGAATAGATACAACAAACTGGTGACAATCCCATAAGATCCAATACCAGATGCACAGAATCAAGACCTGAACTTCTTGAAAACCTCCTGGCTCGACGGGGAACTGTGCTTGACCGCACGTAGGTCACTCACGGCAACTCAGGTAGCGTAGCCACTTCAGAAAGCTGCTGGCTGGACGGATTGCTTCAAGGCGGATGCTTCAACTTCGTTTCTGACCTGACAAAGGCTTCACCTCCTTGTTGTGAGCGGAAGCGGAAGAAGTGATTTCGATCTTCGCGTCTCCCGTGCTCGTGAACTTTGTGAGCAGGCGCAAGTGGCACCGGTGATGTTTCACTGGAGTTGCGGCGATTGCAACCCTGTGCAAGCAGGAACTTCAGTAGGCAGTCGGGGTCTGCTGGCTCGCTCAACTCCTGGCGACCATGGATTGGTGGTTCAGATCGTGCTGCAAGACCCTTCAAAGTGCTGCCCTCGGCTTTCTGCCACAAGTACATGACGAGTTGTCAGGAGACAAAGCACACCACGAAGGCACGCAGAAAGCCAATTCACACAGGAGAGCTCATTACCGGAAAGATCGTTCCGTGTCAACTGACACACACGCGCGCTTGCATGGAGCAGCACAGAGATGTGCTCAACTCCAGCCCTCCAGAAATTGTCCCGCGCCTTCTCCCAAGCATGGCCATCATAAACGATAAACATCAAGTCGTGTGGTTTGCTTTGTCCAGTGCCCTCTTGGCCGCCGACTGCCCACTTCGCCAGCGCCGCCCACTTGGAAGTGGGAGCAGAGCTTCAGCAGCCGCTCCAGGGCGCTCACCGCGTCCTGGCTTCGGATGCACTTGGACTTGGGGGCCGCTGCCGCTTCCCCTTTAAAGCTCTGCAGCCTGCGACTGGAAGGCAGCGGCACCTTGGCCGGCGGTCAGAGTGGTGCCATGGCCCAGATCCGCCACCCCAGTCCCTGCCAGTCCCTGAGACCACGGCGCATGCTCTGAAAGTCCGGTGCCTCGTGTGCCTGGCCCAAGTAGAGGGCTCTCTCAGCAGCGGTGTGCCGCACAATGACAACGTGCTCCTGGCATGTCCCCAATCACCACGGCCCACCACATGGTCTTACATGGTCTAATCCCAGGATCAGTCATGTCCTGGAGCCGGATCGATGCAAGTTCTGCCGTGTTCCTGGGATGTGCTTCAACGCAATCTGGGAATGCCCCTTCTCAGGGGCCTTCTGGGCCTGCTTCCGGCCAAGGTGCTGCCGCACGAAGACGTCGAGGAAGTTGCCAGCCGTCTCCGTGAGAAGCTTGTCGAACTGGTCGGAGGCCCCACGTAAAACGCCCCCGTTCGGCCCTTTCCTCCACGGTTCCAAGGCGCCTCCCAACTCTGAAGGTCGATCTCGCCACCGGTCTGACCGAGCGACCATGCCGCGGGAAAGGCATGGTATGAGCCTATAATGCCTCGATGTAGCCAGGAAGATCTACACGGAACAGGGAGGACATGAAAATGGCACCTGGCTCGCAGGCACTGGCAGATGCAGCAAACAGAGCCTTACAATTCAGCTCTCACTCCTTCCACTCAGGCCTGCATTGGTATCAATCGGAGGTGTTCCCGTCAAACCCCAGCGGAAATGCGACCGCAAGAATTGCAGGCTGTTCCTTGGAGGCCGTGGGTCGTGGATCAGCAAAGCCCAGCGTTGGGAACTTGGCGCACATGTTCTTCAACCCAGACGGCGAAATATAGTTGGTTCGGCACTCGCACGGTTTCTCGAAAAAACGGGTGCCCAATCACTTCTGTCCTTAATTTTGAGGTCACTGGTGTCTTTTTTGCTTGTCGCTTGTGTCTTTCTTTTCTGTGTCACTGGTGTCGTTTTACTTCTTTCGAAACAACAGTCTGGAGCGCAAGCCCTTTTTGGCCAGCTCTGGGTTGTCGGTCTGGGTTTACTCCTTTTAGAGCTTCGGCCTGGGTGTGCTCCCGTGTTCTTTCATTCGGTTTTCGGCCTTTTAGGGTTTCGGGCTCCGTTTGCTCCTTTCAGGGACCGGGCCTTCTTATTTTAATGTTTCGGTCGGGGTATACTCGTTTTAATTTACTCCTCTGTTCTTTCATTCGGGTTTCGGTCTCGGCTTACTCCTTTCAGGGTTTCGGGCTCTGTTTATTCCTTTCAGCGTTTGTCCTTCTAGGGCTTCGGCCTGGGTTTACTCCGTTTTAGGGTTTCGGGCTCCGTTTGCTCCTTTCAGGGACCGGGCCTTCTTATTTTAATGTTTCGGCTTCGGTCTGGGCTTGAGGTTTCAAAGTTTCGGTTTTTTTCAAGCAGACCTTTCACTTCTCCCGGGGTATCGGGGTCGGTGTATTTCACCTTGTTTCACTGGGGTTTCGGTTTGGGCTTACTCTTTTTTAGGGCTTCGGCCTGGGTTTCAGGGTTTCGCAAGCTTACCTTTCGCTTCTTTCAAGGTATCCGGGTCGGTTTACTCCACTTTCATTACGGTTTCGGTCTGGGTTTGCTCCTTCTAGGGCTTCGGCATTTGGGTTTACTCCTTTTAAGGTTCCGGTGCCCCCTTTCTCCTTTTAGGGGTCGGGCCTTCTCATTTTAGGGTTTCGGTCTGGGTTTACTCGGCTTAAAGCGTCGGCCTGGCTGTACTCCTGTGTTCACTCATTCTGGTTTCGGTCCGGGTTTACCTCCTAAGGGCAGCACATGCGGAGGATTGGATTCTTCTATATAGACGCTTCGCATCTTCCCTTTGTAGCTTACCTTTCTTGTCGTGCTTCGGGGTCAGCTTTCGCGCAGGCTCCTCGCGGGCTTCAACTCGTGTGCCGAGTGCGACGAGCCTGAAATCTTGATCGTCCTGTCCTCATTGTGAGGCTTGAACGCAACTCTGTTGAAGCTGCCGAGCCTTTTGTAGCCAATCGTCGAGTTCTGGCAACAGATCTTCTTCGAATGGTTACCCTGGTTGCTCCATCCACGCAAACGAAGCAAAGCATGTCGGCCACACATAAGTCGCTGTCTGCGAAACACTGGTTGCGTCTGCTCTTCCAGAAATCCAGTCTGTCAAGCGCATTATCGCGCTGGCGCTCCACGCTATGCAGGGCCCTCCTCAAGTCACTTATAGTGCTTTCTTGGCAGCGATTCGCATCAGTGAGGTCGTGTACCTCAGCTTCGAGCTTGCGAATCTTCGACGCGCCTGTCGGCGTCGCTGCTCGCTCCTGTGCTCCACCGGTCTTTGCCGGGGGCGGCTGCGGCGTGTGCCTCGATCCCGCTGTGGGGATCGCTGCGTCCTTGGCGGTTGCACCTACACTAGCGCTACCTGAACCCGAGGAGGGATTAGGTCCCGAGCTAAAGGTAACCGAAGGTAGGCGGCCACCAGGGTCTGTGCCCTGTGCACGATTCATGGCTGCAGTGAGCGAATTCGGATCATACTTCGCCACATACTGTGTGTGGGTCTTGCCTGCCAGGCCCATGCGAGTGGCGGCCTGGAATGCTGTCTCTCCCGCATTGGGAGGCCTGTCGAGGGGTCCCACGCCTGTCACCGGTGCCGGTATGCGACCCTCAGTGAGCATGCGCTCGTGGTACCTCTCAGCATATGTAGGCTGATCTTCGGGGCGTGCACATCGCGGTTCGACAACAAGAATACACTCATTGTCTTCCGGTCCGGCTCTGCGGACGGCGTCAACGAAAACCTTCAAGAGCTCGCTGACCTCCTCGACAACGCCCGGAGAACGATGCAAGCACCGAGGGCACTGTCCCTTGCACGCCTTTGGCCCCATATACGGCCAGCTATTTGCCGCGCTCATGTGGGTGAGGCTGATAGAGCAGTCCGGCACCAGCTCCATGAGCATTGCAGGGGTAAGGATACCCGCCGCAACAGATCTGTGTCTGTTGGCCTTGCAAACTACGTGGACTGCAATGGACCTGATTCCCGCATCCTTGGCATCAAGGATGTTCGCCAGAATATGCCTGGCGTGCGCGATCAGGTTCGGATGCTCGGCATTCTCCCGAATTATATCGGGGTTTGACCCAACATGCTTTGTGCGGTCCCTCTGTTCATCGCTGGCACGTTGGGCTTCGGCGGGCGTCATGCCATCCCGCCTATCGTCCTTTAGCCACACCATGTCCAACATCACTAGCATATAGCTAGTGGCAGATGCATGCGTCGTTATGGCGTATGTCTCCATCTCTTCGTGCTGTGCGAAGAGCTCATCAGCGGTCCACCTGCCCCTGACACGCTGCAACCAGGCATGGTGGTCGAAACCCCATGTGAAGACATCAATGATGATGTCCGGGTTCGTTGTATCCCCCGCATAGTGTGGCTGCAGCTTCAAATCCGGATTATACACGGATGCAGGCAACGGCGTGTCCAGCTCGGGGCCGTGCGGTCCAGCACCTGGCATTATAACCAGGGGTCGCCCATGCGGGTCTCGCTTCACTACCGCATCGAAGGCGGCCAAGTCGCGGTGGCCTTGGGCGATAGTCTTCGGGTGCACTGTGGCACGAGCAGCGGGAATCCCCGGGTTATACCCGGGTGGTGGCCCCTTCGGCGCGGTCGCCGACACATAGCCGGGCGGCGCCTTCGGCTGGGGCACAGGATCGGGAGCGGCATTTTAGCCGCCCGAGGGTGCTTTCGCCGTGGCACTGTGGCCAGGCGCCGGCGCTGCAGGTGCCTTCGGTGCAGCCTTTGCCGTGGGAGGCGCCTTCTTAGGCAGCTGCCCCTCTGCTGCGGCCATCGCGGTGGGCTCCGTGTCTCCTACGGACGTGCCTACCATACAATGATTCGGAAACGCTACGCTTATACGTCGCTTAGTGTTGTTGCGATTCTCAGCTGACGTTGTGAAGCTGTGACCGTGGCCTACGCCTACAGTGCTGTGACCATGGCCTGCACCTACAGTACTGTGACTGCGACTTGTTGCCGCTGCATCATCTGTCGCTGCTGCATCTCCGGGGGGTCCGCTCACAGGTCCTGAGTGAGCTAACGTGGCAGCGGCGGCAGACCTAAACATAGGAACTGGCGGCGAGGGAATCTGGAAACCCTTTATGAGGCGTGGTTGCTTAACCTGAATCAAGCCTTCTGTTATGTTTATGCACAACAGCCCTGAGTCATGTGTCCGACACAACTTGATCTTGATGATAGTGTCCTCCGAAGGAAGCCGAACACCACACACGCCAAACCGTAGATCTTTGGTTATACCAAGCTGGGCCTGCGCATAAAGGGACAAGAGAAGAGGGGCGGTACCCTTAATCTCATGCGAATCAAGGACGCCTGGAACTCTCAAGTCCTGCTCCAATCCCATTATAGAGAAAGGTATGGTCCGGCTACCCAAAGTCTCGGTAGCGCCGCTAAGACCCTTGAAGGTACGGTTCCCTTCAGGCTTAAACCTCGTGCTGTAACCGAAGTTCGCAAGTTTCCCCGCCGCGTTTGCTATCCAATCGCTACCGTGAACAGTCGAGTTACATCCCTCATCTAACACGGCGTATACATGCTCGTCCTCGTAGATGTTTACTACGGGCAAATCAACCAAAGCCGGATGGATATCTGTGACCCCCTCGGTAAAAGCCACGAAGGCGTGCCTCGTCGCGGAGGCCCTCGAAGAGCGCGACCTCGCCGACGCCACTTCCCAACTGTTGTTGGTCGATGGCGCTGAGTGGTCATCTAAGGCCTCTTGCAGGTATGCGAGAAGGTCACCGCGAGATATCACGGGCTCGGTTACAAAGTGACCCTCTACGGTCTCTTGAAACTGGGCAATAGCCGGAACTACTACCTCTACGGGGAGACTATCCCCCGTGCTGCCGACTATGCTGCGCAGGAGATCGAAGTCCAGAGTGTTGGACTCCCGCAGCACTGTGGCTGCGTCGTCCCTAGCCTTTCGCTCGGTCTGCGGCTGCTCATCTAGAAGCATCCCACAAAGCTTGCACTTAATGCGGGAAGTCTTCCTGCTACTACCCGACCTCTCTGTGGAGGTGTGTGGGCATGTGGCCTGGTCTATGACAGGCTTTTCTTTCTTCGTCTTTGTAACTGTGCCGCATTTCTTGCAAGTCCGCATGTCTATGTATGCGTTGCTTCCCGACTTATTGAACTCCTTGCACCCTCCCCGGCATTTCCGGGGGCCTTCGCTGGACGAAGCAGCTGAGGCGGCGAGGCGAACCTCGGGCTGAAAGGGTTCAGGCGGGGGTTCCTGGCTGAGAGGAACATCTCTTCTCGTAATACTGATGGGGGTATCATCACGCACATCAAAGTACTCTGTGGTCCAATTCAGGAAGTCAGCCAACCCTATGGATGGGCACTTCTGCGTGCGTCCCCAAAGGATATACCCGAGGTATGTGTAGAGAACTCGCTCATACGTCAACCCCTTATGCTGGCCGAAAGAGAAAACGCGATCAGAACCCGGAGGGGGGCTATCACGCATGATCCCTGCGGCGGCTGTGCGCCGAAGCTGCGGTGAGAAGAGGGTTTCACTGCCGCGGCCTTTACCGGTATTGGTCTTTGAGGGAGTCAGCTCAAGGTTGGCTGGGTAACCCTCGAGCCTACCAGCGCTCGCATTCGACAGATGGACACACTCTGTGTCATCCTCCTCCACTGCGGCGAAATACGCCTGAGGCTTCGGCGCCGCCGACTTTGCGGCTGCATTGGCAGTTCCCCCAGACTGTGCTGGGGTTGCAGTTCCCTTGGGGCCATTGCCCTTACCGCTAAACTTGCAGGCAGCATCTCCGGCCCAATGGCCAATCACACCGCACTTCAAGCACCTACTCTTAGCCTTAAGCTCTGCAAGCTTAGCCTTGCGGTCAGCAATAGTCAAGTTACTACGCACGACCTTCCCGCCGATTTCCCGGTGGGCTTGCCCTTGTTCTTCCCCTTTCCTTTTCCTTTTGCCTGGGCAAAAGCGGTCTGTGCCGCGTATGCAAGCTGAACTGACTCGGCGTAGGAATCGTCCAAGTCATCAACCTCAGCTTCGTATGCCACCGCCGTATAGGCGTTGAGTTGCAATGCTAGATCCTCATCATCAATCCATTCATCCGCATCACCTCCCCCAGACGCTGTGGCCTGGTACGCTTCATCACCGTAGCCGTCACCGTAGCCTTCCGCGGATTCGTGCTGTTCCTGGTGATCGTACTCTACGGCACTGCCGTCATATCCCATGTAACCGAACTTAGGATATTGGGGCTTAGCGTCAAAACGTCTCCAGGTCCTACCTGGGCCACTAGGGTCCTTCTGGGTCAGAAGACGTTCCTTCATATGCACCACTGAGTGATGCTGAACAAGGACGCGTGCGTACTCATCCACACTGTGCATGCGGGCAGCGGTCTTGACCATTAGCTGTTCGGACCTATCCAATCCCGAAAGCTCAACAAGGAGGTTAGCTCTCATTGTTTCGGAAAGACGGATATCAGGGTCCAGCTCTCGCAAGGTCGACCACCACCTCTTTCGGCGGGCTATGTAAGACAACATAGGCTCGCCAGGCTGTTTTGCAAGTGGGCCCGTCAGGAGCTGTCCCTGACGGAAAAGTTCGGACGCCTCTTCGGATTGAAGAGGGAAGGCTTGCCTCCTGATTTCCTCTATCAGGTAGTCAATGCCGTCATGCCGGAGCAAACGTTCCAAACCGACGTCGCGTGCAATGCAGAAGGCATCCCCTCGGAGACCTTCCAAAATCTTGCTGACGCACTCGCTCATGTCGAGCGATTCGTCTTTGACGTCTTGCAACGTGTACACCGCCGGATCTGTGTCCGGCTCTTGCTCATCGTCGCCCGTCACCTGACTGGGGTGTGACGGTGTCGACTCCGCATCCTCATCCTCTGCCTCGGACACGGGCTTAGTCCGCCTTGCACTGGACGGACTAGCGGGTATACCGCTGCTCGCATCACCCTCGGTGGGGTGTGCACTGGTCGCTTGACTGGCTCTGCCGCGCCACTTCCTTGGTGATTCGCTTTTGGACTTTGCCGATTCTGCAAAACGCAAGTCCTTCAAAGCTTCACGCCGCTGCTTTTCCTTATGCTGCAGCACGCGGATCTGTGTCCGGAAGCACCAATCGTGGAACCCAGCAGCTGACCCGTCGTATATGTACGAGCCGCTTTTGGTCTCGGCAGGGCTCAGGTTCTGTGACCAGAGATTGGGCTGGTAACGCAATCCTGCCACGCTCATGGCTTCGAGGATAGAAGGGGCCTTTGCGCCGCGACTATCACTACTCTACCCAACGGACCCCGGACCTCAGGCTCAACGGGGGTGAAACACTAGTGGTTGTCCTCACAGCTCCGCTACCAGTTTGAAGCAGGAACTGGATTAGTGAGTGTCCAACCACACAACGAGCGCACTTTTTGGTCTGAGCCCAAGACGTCTGTCATACAGGGTGCGTCCAGAACTAAGCATGAAAATCTACGCTCGCATGAGGACATGTCAACACGGCCCTTCAAGACAGGGAAATTTCACAACCATACTCTGCCTCAGCATTTGGGTTTAAGGGTCAAGGGGTTGTGTATGGTTTAGTTAAATTCTGTAGCTTTTCTTTCCGGGGATAGGACTGGTGCGAATGGGAGCACAAGTGACCCCAAAAAAAAAGACACCGGTGACCGCTTGTTCAGACATACGCAGCTGGAACTTCTGCAAGTGGCTCTACGCATAGGTGCACTGCTGGTATTCTGGTGTCATCATGACGCCCAGGCCGCACTTAAGTGGAGACTTGCTGCTGTATTATTGAACCCACCCACCAGTTGGCATGTGCCGCATTGTGACAGCAGTTTGAACGGAACAGAGAGGAATCCGACATGTAGATCCCGCGCACCAAACACACTCTTCCATACTCCTTCCTGACACTCCTCATGGACGGGAAGGGCTGCAACATGCCCCAGGTCTTGTCTGGACACTCCACAGAGGCTGCGGATCATCGTGCTACGGTGCCTTGTAGGATGGCAGGCGATTGAAAGCTGACTAGATCGAACAAGAGAGTCACGAGAAACCTCGCCGGAACAGGCAAACTCACCTCCGGAGGCCTTGCTAAAACCCACCTGCAACGTTCACATGTGCGGGATGCGAGGGTTGGCCGGCGCCGACATTACGGCGATGACGACATCGCCAATTGAACTGAGGCGCTGCTGCGTGCTTTCGAAGCTCTCGAGCTCGTGGAACTGCCAATGCCCCCAGAGTGCACAAACGAACAAGTCCACGACATGCTCAAGGCGTGATGGCACCTGAAACATTAAAATCCTCTCGACCTTCCGATGTGCCGAAACGGTCTTGTTACTGTCTACTTGCATTGGGCTAAGCCAAAGCCGTTGTTCACCGAAGGCATGCGGGCACTCTAATCTTACACTGGCTGAAGTCTGTTGGCTGTGATTACCATTGTCTGCCCTCGGCTCGCCTCATCGAAGATGATCCGCTTCCAGTAGAACATCTCTAGAACGGGAAACCTCGCAAGAGGAGTTCCTTTCTTTTGGTGACCAACTTGGTGCGCAGCGGTGGGTTCGGTGATGCGGTCGCGTGGCTCCAAATCCTGCCACTTCCAGACCATCTCATTGCCTTTCCTGCCGCTCCGCAGGGGTACACGGCCTGGCAATCCGGCTTTCAAATGCAGTTTGCTGCAAGGAGGAGAATGCGCCTTGGAGAAGACCACGAACTTGGTTCGGGAGGTTCCAGAGCGAGCTGTTGCCGCTGAGCTCCTGGAGCTATGGCTCGCCGCACCGCCGCTTGCATGGCTTAGAGTACAAGGCTTAGAGCGGGCCGCTTGGCTTGGGGTTAGGATGGCGGGCAGGGCTTCCGTGGCTTAGAGCCTTCGGCGGCGGCGCTTCGGCTTCCGCCTCGCGGCCTCGCGCCTCACAGCGCCTCGCGCCTCGCGGCGCTTCAGGTAGATCTGTGAGTACAGCAAGCGATAGGAGCAGATGACCACGTCCGCACTGCTGATGTCGCAAGCCTGGCATGGCAAGAAAGCGGCCTTCGACTTCGCTGCTTGAGCCGAGCCTTGCAGCGAGAAAGTGGGGCGACATTCGACATGGCAAAGATCTTGAGCGGGCACTCCCGTGGAGACCAGCCACTTCTCATTTGTTGCCTGGCGGTACAGTACCCCGTGCACCCTGCTTCGCTTTGGCTTTCATGACCACTCCCCGTGCCTCAACGGCCGTCCGTCCCAAACGAACTTGGAGATCTCATTGATCCACTGCTCGAAGAGATTGGACGGAACAATGATCAACGTGCCCTCCGCCAAAAGCAAGCCGAAACGATCTCTTCAGCATGACTCTTGAAGCACAGCAGCACGTCGGGGCAGGACTTTGGCATTATGGCAACATGATGCGATGCCAAGATAGATCCCGCTGCCTGGGCAGGCAAGAAGCGTCCCTCGTCCACCTGCCCGGCAAAAACAGGCGAGCTTCCATTTCGAAAGTGCACTTTTGTCAGCCCCGAGCTGAGGGGACGGGTGGGACTGGCGCCCGAAGCTGCCGATCGATGAGTGCAATGCTAGTGGCCTCAGCTCAGCTTCCTCGCACCCGCAAAGAGCCTTGCTTTGAGGGACGAGCGGTCTTGCCGTAGCCGATCTTGTCTGCCAGGATGCCACCACGCACGGTGTAGGCCTCAAACAAATGTGAGAGGGAATCGCAGTGAGCCGTGGTAGCTCCAGGGCCGCCGTCAACCGTTAGGGCCCTCACGGCGCAGAGGCGCAGGTCAAGCACCTCGCACTGCTCACACTCTCGCGCTGTCTAGCACTGTCTAGCAGTCGAGCACAAGTCTCAAACGATTTCTACTGCGAAAACAACCTGATGGTGTCTCAGAGCCACGCCATCGGCGGCCTCTGCCCAGAAGATGCATCGACCCTCACCACCTCCCCTTGCTTGCCCTGCAGGTCCGGTGCACCCCCCTCTCAACAAACTCATGCAATTCTTGCACCTTCCAGTTTTCGTGCGTCGGCCACTTGACCCTGACGTTGGGACCATCCTCGTGATCAGGTCACCAAGAATCTATGTGTCCATGGCAAGACGTGCTTGCCTAGCGTGGCTGATTCAACAGTGTTCTCGCAAGTCTTGACAAAGGCAATGCAACCAAGCGACGAAAGCGATTCTATTCGTTCCTTTACTTGGCTCAAAATTTACGATTTCTGGGACGACCCAATCTGGGCCGGCTTGCGTTTGGGGCGTTTAGCCCTGATAAGCCTTCATGTCCAGGTTGCTACGTTGCGCACAAGATGTCGTTCAGTTCCGCCAGACTTCATACGGCCGGCATTCTACTGACAGCCGGTGGAACGACACTGGGCACGATGCAAGCATTACGGCGTAGGGCTGGACACAAGGCTAGCCGCGCACAGTGTGGAGGCTTTGCCACACACGGTTCCCACGCGGTTCTTATCTCGACTGTTCGACAAGGGCCGACAAGGAACAGAAGCTTCCAGTTGACACCCGATAAGCTAAAACAGTTATCCCGAAAGCGATGCAGAGGCGGTAGCGGATGCTGCTTGGTGTTGTTCTATACTGTCAACATTCACATATCGACGAGACTTTTCAGGATCGAGATCCTCGTAACTGCCCCGCGTCGTCGTTTTGGATCGCAACGCTTGCCTCGTGTCTGGCAGACATCCACAAACCATGCAGATCACTGGAATAAGGACCCTTAACAGTTGCCACCCTTGTAACCGCTGTCGCTTTTCAATGTCTCCTTGCGAAAAACGGCCAGTCGTGAAGGCAAGCCACCACGGGTCGAACCCGAACTGATGAGGGGAACTCAGGTAAGCGCGCCAGTTCAACTGAACACCCATGCAACCGATGTCAAGTCACGATATGTAGAATGGAGATAGGCTCCTGCTTCAAGAAGATGCCGGTCATGGACGGATCGACGCCTCCCCAGCCAAAAGCAGGTGCCTGGAGCCGAGACACAACGTGACACATCGTCACTGTGTGGGACTGGGATCCCTCCTTCAAGCCAGGGCGGAGCATGACTCTGCAGCCAGGAAGGAGGGCGCCAGAGTCCGCGAAAGTCAGCTCCTGCAGGTCGGTGGTCGCACGACTTCGTTATCGCGAGGTTGCCAAACTGCACCTGAACGAAGCACCGCACGGTAGTGTCACCTGAGCATGAGCCGTATCCTTGAAGGGATCCCTAGCACGAAACCTTCTGAGCCCTAGGCGGAAGCGTACCCACTTGTAGGACGTACTCGTCCTCATCCCCCCCTCGTCATGGGTGATCTTGCCGATGCCTGACAGTCCGCAAAACGATGCGACAGCCCAGCGGAACCAAGCGGAGATTGGCGGAGCCTTGCAAGGACTCTTTGGAAACTTGCGTCCCGTAGTTGTTCAAGAAGGGACCTGACCTCGGCGAAAGAAAGCGTGACAAGGATCTCCACCGTGGCTCTTGGAGGCCCCGAGGCTGGGCCCCCGGGCGCGCTCTCCGACAGCTGCACGGCGGCACCCACGACGAAGCGGGATGCTTCGTCTACCTCCACACTCATGCCTCCCTTATGCTCCGCTGATTGCGCCGTGTGAGGCCTCCAGATGGCCGCCTCCGAAAGTCGGCCAGTAGCGGATCCACCTCAAAGACAGAGAAAGAGAGCAGCGAGTGCAAGTCCAAGTGTCCAAGTCCCGCTGAGGCGGACAGCTACAGAGGGGCGCACTCTACGACGAAGGGCTCCGAGTCAGCCTCTTGCGCCAACATCCATTGCAGCGACCTTCAAGCGTTTGCTCTTCGGTTCTGGGATTTCAATGGTACCTGAAAGGCTTTCTTTTTGCGCCTTTGCTGCTCGGGTCTGAGAGGGTGTTGCAAGAAGTGCGGTGGCTGCTCTGCCGAGGCCTTGGAACACAGAATCTCAGAAGCTTCCGAAGGTGACCATCTCATACACCCGGATACGCGTGGCACGTGCCACTGAACACGCTCCGTACACCTTCCAAGCACAAGTATTCGCATTTCTGGAAGCATGGCATCGTCCTCAGTTACGCCGCAGTTGATCTTACCGCTCTGCGACTCGTCAGCAATAGGACGTCCGACGTTTGGCAACAGCCCGAACGGTGGTCTCAGGAATGCCAAATTACGCGGCGGTGGGGGAACACCCCAAGCACTGGAACACTACATGAAGAAGATTGTTTTGAGACAGATCGCGAACGTCCGCCACACCTGTGGACAGTCCACTTGTGGGTCATCCTGCAACCCAGATCAAGGCTCCTTGGATCCCTGAAGTTCGGGCCGTCCGGGCTCGTGCTTTGAGCAGAGTTCGACTCTCTACGATCAGAGCCAGAGCCAGAGCCCTCGGCTGAGTTCCCCGGCGTCGTTGGCGTTGTTCAGCAGGCGAAAAGGTCTGGCAGGCACCGCGCCCACCAGCGCCGAAGGCGCCACACATGGCAGTGACCTTTTCGAGCCCAGGGCCCCAGTGGCCCCAGGGAAGAAAGAGAGACATCACAAGAAGGAAAGCTCTCGTCTCCGTACGAGGGCGCCGCTTCGCGTCAGGCAATTTCCGGAGCCGCCAGCTGAAGCTGAGACCGGCGAAGTCGCTCGGAGGGTATCTCACCTTCCCATGCTGGGCCCACGCCCAGTTGGAGATCTGAGTTTAGGTGGCACGCAAAGCCAGACCTTCGCCAGGAGGGTCTCGAAGAGACTGTTGAGCAAAGAGTCTTTCACTGCCACGTGCTCTCCTCAAAAGCAAAGACAGCGTCACGTGCCCTTGGCCACCTGCCAGTACTGATGTCCACCGACCGTCCTTTGACAGTGCTGATGTCCTTCTCCAGCTGCCGCGCAAAGTGTGCCTGTACCTGTGCCTGATAAGGAACAGAGCAGCTCAGCTTGACCACACCGGCAATGCAAGTCCGCCTTGGCGGCCGCGTGCATTTCACCAGAACATTTGCAATCCTCCAGACTGCGCGTCAAAGCCGCAGGCACAGCACACGTCCTTGGCCTTCAGCGCACTGCTATCCATCTGGCCCTGCAGTGACAAGCACGGCGGGTCCTCCGACTCAGTCACCAAGAGGACTGGCGCGGCTGGACTTTTTGCAAGCCGGCCTGGGAGAGGACCTGCCGGGCCCAGTTCTCCAAGGATATTTTCGGCGAGAAGGCGGTCCAGGTATCCTTTGAAAAGCAATGCCAGAAGACGCACCCTGACGCGTCCTCACCGCCTTAACAAGGCTCCTCCAAGCTGCAGCTCCAGCCAGCTCCCATCCGACGGAGCTCCTCCTTTCACATCACGTCAAGCGCAAGCTGTTGGAAAGACGCCTCGCGGCCGATTTGCCTGGACCTCCAGTGGAAGCTGCGCCTGAACAACACTACAGCACTGCGAATCTGTCAACCACGCTGTGCGGGCGCCTCCTCACTGCGAAGGCCGATGCTTGAGGACTCGGGAAGTGCACATGCGACGTCACACAAAACCTGACTGTGCGCCGGTGCGCTTGCCTCTGCCGCCTCCGCCTTGCCGGGAAGGGTCTCTTGCGAGGCGCTTCGACCTCGGCAAAAAGCGGCGGAGCCGGGAGATCCGGGAGCCGCAGCCGAGTGCCGCGCCACTCTCTGTCCCGCCGGGCCCAGGAGCTTGAGCTTCTGCTGCTGCGAGAGCGATCGCTCCCGCCGCCTCCTTCGGCTTCTTCGGATCCTGGCGCCGCTGCTTGCCTCACACAGTCAGACAGCGCCACTGGAGGAAGGGCTCTGTGAGGCTCCGTGCGGCCGCAGCACGCTGGCCCTGGTGCCCTTCCGGCGCCTGGCCACGCTTGCCTCCTCAGAGCAACTCACGAAAAACGAACGTGCCTGTGTGCACGCTGTGTGCGAGTGAAACCTTGACCTCTCTATCGCGTCTCAGGCCCGCGGCCTCGAGAGAAAGGCTTTGGTGCAGGGTCGATCTCATCAATCTCAATGACGCCCAGTTGCTCCGGACCTGCACATGGCAAGGTGAGCAGACCCGACGGCAAAGGAAAACTAGAAGACAATTGGCCCGAAAGCATCATCAGCGAAGAGTGCGGGGCTATGTGATAGATCCAGTGTGTAGGATCGTAAAGTCACAGAGTGAAGAGTCATAGAAGGCATGAGTCATGAGTCATAAAGTCATAGAGTTGCAGTGAGATAGTGTTCTTCCGTGCGGAGCCCCGTAGATGAGTACGTAGATGACTACATAGATGAAAGACATAGAATCAACTTACTTGACTCTATACCTTACTTGACTCTATGCTATCTCTGTTCAAGCTCATACCAACTTGACTCTATGTCATGCTATCTCTATACTTACTTACTTGCTTACGACTTACTTACAACTTACTTACTTACTTGACCTCTATGACTGACTCTCTGCACTTGATACTTGACTCTATGTAATGCTATCTCTATACTTACTAACTTGCTTACGACTTACTTACTTACCTACTTCACTTTACTTACTTACTTACTTACTTGACCTCTATGACTGATTCTCTATGCCTCTATGACTTACTCTCTACATCTCGGTATCTAATTCTCTCTTCTAAAGCCAGGGGTGGCACCTTTACTTGACCTGCTATCTCTATATTTACTTACTTACTTACTTGACTCTATGCCTCTATGACTGACTCTCTATGCTCTATGTGTAGGGACGTTTACTTGAGATCCCCAGACCTGGACCTCGATCGTGTCGCAGCAGTAGTAGTAGTAGTAGTAGTAGCAGTAGTAGTAGGAGTAGTAGTAGTAGTAGGAGTAGCAGTAGTAGTAGTAGTAGTAGTAGTAGTAGTAGTAGTAGTAGTATCCACATCCATGCTTGCTCTTTCGCAAGACAGCGTCGAAGCAAGCGATCCTTTTTCCTGCGGCGGCGACGTCGCTTGCTCGCTCTTTCGCAAGACAGCGTCGAAGCAAGCAAGCAACGTCCCAAACCAGCGAGAGTGTTGCAGACGGTGGTCGAACAGCACCTTCTGCAAAGCGACAATGCAGAAGGCGATGTGCAACCTGGCTGAGGGCCAATTCATTTTCCTTCCCAAGCGACCCTCTCGGCCTGAACGAAGTGGGACACCAGCACTGGAGAGGCGGCCTGAGGAGGTGCCGGGAGAGGTCATCCCAGGGATTACGGTGGTCCGGAGCCTCGTGAAAATGGCTAATTGTAGTTGCAAAGGTTCATCGGGAGCCCCGAGCCTCCATAGCACTTATTATATTTCCAACCCAGGGTATAGTATCATGGAAGAAGAAACATAGCGGCAGCTGACAAACACCCCCAAACGGAAGTCGCAACACTGGTCTCTGAAAGGAGTAGGGAATTAGGGTTTCGCTCTTCATCTCAAACCACAAAAGGCCAGCGTATATTTCTTAGCCGATTCAACAGACTCCAGGGGAACGCCACGGGCTTATGGGTCCTTATTTCGTGTCTATCCACACCGGATAATCCACGAGGGCCTAGTAGGACTAATGCAGGGATCACGGTGGTCCAGAGCCTCCTCTAGAAAGATTGATTCTAGCTGCAGACATTCATCGAGAGCCCCAGGCTTCGGTGACACCCTGTGCATCAACCCAAGGGATACTATCTCAGAAGAAGAAACCCGGCGGCATCTGGCAAACATTCCCAAACGGCAGTCGCAACACAGGTCTCTCAAAGGATTATTTGGGATTTAAGATCTATCCTATACCACAAACGGGTCCACCTCGCTGAGCCGCTGCGCGACTCGTGGCGCCGGGGAGTCCAGCAGCGGAAGGCAGTGCAGCCATTAGGGATTTGGAAAGACACCGTTCCGAAGTGAAACACCCCACTTCACTAGGAAACCCGCCAGATGCCGCAAAGTATTTAACGTGCCAAGCAATCGAGGAGCTCCTGCGTCTCGATGAACCTTTGTCTGCTCACAGGATGTCGCGGCCAGGAGGAGAACGAAACGACTTGGAGATGAACCGAGGCATTGGGAATCACTACGCTTCCGCCGCACCAATGTACCAATGCGAGCACTTGAAGTTGCCGTTGATGGTTCGCCCATCATAGTTCTCGCTCGGCAGCCTTCGGTTGTCAATCGGCCTGAGACGTCCACGGTACCTCACGACTTCATGGTGCAATCCTGCACATCGGCTGGATCTGTTGACGCATCCATAGTCTTGATGTTCACATCTGCTTGATGTTGGGCTGGATTTGTTGACGCATCCATAGTCTTGATGTTCACATCCGCTCGATGTTGCAACGGCAACTGCAACATGTCCACGCTTGCTTCATAAATGCACGCTTCGTGCAATGCGTTGTCTCTGTAGCACACACACACACACACACACCCATACAACTGGTTCGGGGGAGTTCGGAGGATCAAGTGAGACCACAGAAGCCTTCGATTTGACTTTGATCTATGCAGAACGACAGACCTTACACTGCATCACGAAGCATTTCGGAGTCGGGTTGGGGGTGGAGAGCCAGCGCGGGAGGAACCTGGACCTAGACTAGGCTACTCTTCCCAGGCGACCCTCCCCGGCCTTCGTCGTCACGTACGCGGCTTTCCGAGTAACTTCTGAAGCTGCTCACGAAGGTTGCCAGCCTAGAAACAACAAGCAAGCGATCTTCTTGCTATGGCGGCCCCTCCATGCTCGCTCTTTCGCAAGACAGCGTCGAAGCAAGCGATCCTTTTTCCTGCGGCGGCCACGTTGCTTGCTCGCTCTTTCGCAAGACAGCGTCGAAGCAAGCAAGCAACGGCCCAAAGCAGCGGTTGCACAGTACCTTCTGCAAAGCGACAATCCAGAAGGCGATGTGCAACCTGGCTGAGGGCCAATTCATTTTCCTTCCCAAGCGACCGTCTCGGCCTGGACCAAGTGGGAGACCAGCATCGGAGAGGCGGCCTGAGGTGCTGGGAGAAGTCATACACGGATTACGGCGGTTCGGAGCCTCGTGAAAACGGCTGATTGTAGTTGCAAAGGTTCATCGGGAGCCCCGAGCCTCCATAGCACGCATTATTCCAACCCAGGGTATAGTATCATGGAAGAAGAAACATAGCGGCAGCTGACAAACATCCCCAAACAGAAGTCGCAACACTGGTCTCTGAAAGGAGTAGGGAATTAGGGTTTCGCTCTTCATCTCAAACCACAAAAGGCCAGCGTATGTTTCTTAGCCGATTCAACAGACTCCAAGGGGGACGCCACGGGCTTATGGGTCCTGATTTCGTGTCTACCCACACCGGGTAATCCACGAGGGCCTAGAAGGACTAATGCAGGGATACGGTGGTCCAGAGCCTCCTGTAGAAAGACTGAATATAGCTGCAGACATTGATCGGGAGCACCAGGCCTCGGTTACATCCTGTATACCAACCCAAGGCATACTATCATGGAAGAATAAACCCGGCGGCATCTGGCAAACATTCCCAAGCGGCAGTCACAACACAGGTCTCTCAAAGGATGATTAGGGATTTAAGATCTATCCTATACCACAAACGGGTCCACCTCGCTGAGCTGCTGCGCGACTCGTGGCACCGGGAGTCCAGCAGCGAAAGGCAGTGCAGCCATTAGGGATTTGGAAAGACACAGTTCCGAAATGAAACACCCTACTTCACTAGGAAACCCGCCAGATGCCGCAAAGTGTATTTAACCTGCCAAGCAATCGAGGAGCTCCTGCATCTCGACGGTGGCCAATCCCTGTGAAAGGTTGCATTCGCGATGGACGACGACGGTGCCACCCCTTGCGCCGGCGGCGCTGGCTTCTGGCTTTTGTTGCGCCCGCCGTCGCTGTCGTCGTGTTGCTGGTCTTTATACTACCAAGAGCAGGTCCAAGCCTGGCCACATTTTGTAGGGGGGACGTGGCACCCAGACTCCTCGCGAACGGGACCGAGACAGGCTGTGCCTCGAATGGCGGCAGATGACTGCAGGGCACAATTGGAGCCGTCGAGAGCCAGCTGCTCGTCTGGATCTGATGTGCAGTATGCCCGCTCCAGGCGAGCACAACGGACTCGCAGGTTGCTTGCACAGGCCGCAGGCACCGTCCCGCCAAGACAAGCCGCGCATTTGGAGTAGTGCTAACTAAGCTCGTCTGAAGGGTTGCAAAGTGTGCCATCTCAATGGAAACTTCTCAAGAGGAAGAACGAATCATCCAAGGATCCAAACAGTAGCAGCAGGCAACGAACCTAAATCGGGATACCGGGTTGAGCAGAACCCCGAACACCTTCCAGCCCCACAACGGAAATTCTGAAATCAAACCAACCAAGCCCAGCAGTCCGCAGTCGGGATCTCAGGAACAGGTTTCTGTTAGACCGACCTTCCCA